GGCCAAATTTCTGTTTGCAGCGGCAAAAAGCCGCAAGTGCTTCATGAATAACCTGTAAAGGTTGAGTGTAACAAAGAGTACTCGGGAGACTTATTATTAACTTGCAATCAGTTTCTGTTTTAGGTTATATAGACAGCCATTCATCCGATAGCGAATGGTGATACTTGTTTTTATTAATTATAAGCCAAATGTGATGTTATTAATTGTAAATTGTTGTATTTCATCATTCTACTTTCACTTGACTTAGCCGATGGTTTGTTGACCGAAATAAAGGCTACTGACTGACTGACTGGCCTATGAAATTCATGAGGTTGCCATAAATTGAGGGCCAATTTGAAGGCACGTATTCGTAACAGATTTTGGAGGATCCTGTTAATTCAAAAAAAAAATCTCTTTTTATAGTTTACTTTTAAAATTGATAAATTAAACTGTTGCAATCTATATTTTAACCTAACTAGGCCATACAGCCATAATAAAGACTGACACATAAAGTGGCACTTGCAGTGGCACTAGAATTTTCAGCCTCTTCTCTGACTGCCCTGTCCAGCACCAAAAACATAAGAGTACAGTTTTGCTCTTCCAAAGGAAACTTTTAGTCATCACAAACTTCAGGAAAAAAGAGTGATTATTCCTGTTTCATTTATAGTTGCTGAAGCCACTTCCATAAGAGCAACCGCTGCATTAAATATAGCCCTCCAACGTAGCAAATAGAAATATAAAAACAGAAATAACTACTGCACACTGTTCGATTATCTAGTCAAAATGGCAGCAGAGAGAATACTGCATACAACCAATTCAATTGCTAAAGAAAACATGTTTACTATATTTGAAAAAGCAAATGAATGCAGTGTTATCAGAAAACCTTTGCCACTGGGTTATTTCTAGCATGTAAAACTGATTAAATAAAGCAGCACTGTCCAAATGTGTTATCTCTAAGCAACACACCAAATAAGCAACACAAACATGTGTGGTTTTAAATGTGAGGACACAGATGGGTTTTGTGAAGTCTTAAATTATGACTAGGTATTTCTAAATCACAACAAAGTATAGAATATATCTGAGAGACAACACAAACACGTTCACAAGAGGGATGAAAAAAGTAATATTGGTACCTATTCATGCATTCAGATGCCCTTATGCTGGAAAGAGGGAGAAGGATAGGCAGTCTCTCTCCCGTATTGCACAGAAGAAGAAATGGAGAACAAACCCCAAGAGCATACCAGTAAGAACAAAACAAGGACAAAAAAGTGAGCAAGGTAAATGAGCAGGAATCCTAAATAATGCATAGAAAGTAACATAATGAAATAGGTAGCATCCTTAAAAGCAGGCATCATTACCTGTTTTCACAAAATGCCCTACACATTGTCAGCTCCTCAGTACAGAAATCAATCCACATTATCCCTGCCCCCATAGTGTGCTGTCTTTTTGAAGTCAATCAGCTCACTAGTTGTAAAAGTAGTTGAACAAATTTAATTTTACCTGTGGCAGAACTAAAAGGGCTGAGTAATTATTATCACTCCATCTTCCAGATTTCTTCATAGAACTACTTTCAATAAAGGCAGAAGCTCAAAAAGCCAGAAAAATGTGAAACATTTGATCTTATCTTATTAAATTAGGCATTTGCAATCTAATTATCATGCAGCATATTAGCCTTTACAGTTCATATTTGAAAGACGATGAGCAGAACCAAGTCAATAAGCTTTGGGTTCTACTACATGCAAAAAGATAAAAGTATCTAATCTGGCAAGAAACTGAAATCTTAAATATTTTAGATTATTATTATTTTTTGGAACTAGCTTTATTGGGATATTTTAAATCTGGCAAATTTTATTTTTAGAGGGCATACCTACACACTCTTATTATGGCATAGATTCCCACTGAACACAACAGGCATTGCTTCTTATTAGATACAAGATTCCCCTGATAACATTATTTATAATCTTCTCTGTTCTGGAACACTATGTTTTTAACACTGTTTCATGCATAAAGAATCATATTCATTTTGTAAGAATTATTTGTGATAGAATAAACATTTTTGAAAAGAAACCACTCAAATGCACACCCTGAGACAGAGGAGAGTTAGATCTTGAACATTTTTTATGGCGAAAGTTTACTGTGATTAACCCTTTCATAAAAGAATACTTATAAACATTTCTTAAGAGTTAACAATTGACTAAATATTTTTTCTTGAAATGGTTTCCGATTGATACATTTTTTAAAATGTACATTTATGACTACAGCCACATTAAAAGATGTTTTACACAAAGTGGCAATACAAAAGTGTTAATTTGTTACATGTGTATTAATGGGAATGAAACACCAGAAAATGAAATACTTTGAGCACTATGACACAGAAATAAAATGATATTGCAGAGAAGACAAATAATCAGACAGTTTGCCTTTAAGAACTAATTTAGCTATTACCTTTTCTACTTAGGGAAATGCTGAAAGCTAGAGATAAAACTAATAGATGTTTCTTTCTGCTATGATTTATTGCCTTGAAAAGAAAATATAATTCCTGAATATAGCATAACAGGCAGCTTGGGAAAGTAATCCACTCGTCACATTTTGTTTTTTTTTACAGGATAATCTTCAAGATGTGGGAAAATGTGAATGATATAATTTACTGTTTTAACAAATACTATGTTCCAGAATTCAAATGTATAATGTAATAAATATCTGCTATGGAAAGAAATGATGGATGGTATATGTATGCATTATGTTATGGTCAAAAGATCAATACGTATTTGCTTATGCTTTATACTTTCTTGGACATGGGAATCACTCTGTTAATACTAACATACCCTTTCCTTTGTTCAATATAATAGTTCAACTGAAGTAATTATCAATGGAAATGGGAAGGAAGCAAACCTCTGTCCCCACAGCCCCATGCATCTCCAAAATGTCCTCCAGAGGTCTTTGAAACCTTTTGTATTTGTTTTGCAAGTGGTGGGAGGAGAAAGAAGTTCTGACATGCTAGTAGTCAAGACCCTAACATGTTATTGGATAGAGGTTACAGACATGGTGCAAGACCTATGCAACTGGGCTGTTGAGAGTTGCTGGTGGGTTCATAAGCCACTCTCCTCTTGTGGAGGAATCACCCCTTTCTTTTCAGTTTTGGTGCTATTTGTGATTTAGGATTATGTGCACACCAGTAAACAGAGCATCAAGCCAAGTTGTAATCTGTGGGTTGACAAATGTCATTGGAGCTAATTATGGGAAGAGTTTTAAATGGTGTTTGTTGTGCACCTGGTCAAAATCGGAGTTAGTCCCCAATGTAACAAATAATTGTTAACATGATAGCTGAGAAACCAAGTACATTCTTTAAACAACTCTGTTAATTCTACATCTCAGGAAGCAGAGTCCATTTCGGGATAAGTCATCCACACTTTTAAAGTTTTTTCACCCATACTTCTGCACATTTTTGGATTTAAACAGGGACTGAGAACTATGGTTGCTATTTACCATTGTGAATTCCCATCTAATCAGTATCTTAAGTTACAGTTTCAAAATCAGAAGCAACTCATTCAAATGGAAGCTGCAAAGAAAGACAGTATATAAACACAATAAACACATTAAATACTTCTTAAACTTGATTGTTCTCCATCTTTCTGATAAATATAGGCTAATATTAGTTGGCTGAGTCCCAAAGTTCTCCATCAATATTTATCCAATGAAATAAATCTTTCTAGAGGAGTACTACTTTCATTTATACAACCTATTATTATAAGACTTATTTCTTCCATATGATTATATAGCAAATACATATATACACAGAGAAATCTACATTGATTCTTGCTTCCATTTCCAGCAAGATAAAAACACAGATGGATACATTTCATAACTATAACTAATTAGTAATAAAATTGGGCTCTGACAATCTGTACAGTTTCAGCTTTACAGAATGTAGCATTCAATAAATCCTCTGAAAATATCACTTTGAAAATCCAACAAAATGTAATGATTTCCATTTCTTGATAGTGATATGCTACCTTTAATGATGTTAGATATCTTATATGTAAACCTGTTCTCAAAGACCTGGTGGATTATTTCAGAAGAAGACTTGCAAACACTAAAGTCCATTGTAGAATCAATTTAATATCTCTATTGATTCATTTTTATGTCAAGACTTACAAAAAATGACATTGCAATATAGAAATAAATTTTGAAAAATATGTTTACTTAGGGGAGTGTGAATGTGAAAAATATTTATTAGTATTTCTTTTAAGGACTTCCACAACACTATTCATATACCCCAAACCTTACATATAGAAACCATTGTCAGGCATAATTACCTCCTTAAAGTATTTTAGTGCTGATAAATGTGCAACTTCTAATCTCCAACACTGTCTGTCTGTGAAGTATAAACAATCTCAATCTACTTTAGAACAATCTGTACTGACACTTCATTTTCATTTACAATGAAGTAAATTTGTTGTACCTTGCTGTTACCTTTTTAATAATTAAGATTTTAATTCTCGAGGAGCACTTATGAAATCCAGCATTACATGTTCTAGAACAGTGGTTCCCACCCTGTGTGTCCTCAGGTGTTTTGGCCTACAACTCCCAGAAATCCCAGCCAGTTTACCAGCTGGTAGGATTTCTGGGAGTTAAAGGCCAAAACATCTGGGGACCACAGGTTGAGAACCATTGTTCTAGAGTATGAATGCTATTATCAAATAACAACACACTGCAGCAGCAACCTTGAAATACTACATGTTTGTTCAAAAGTAATCAAATGATACAGATACTTTTAAGAGTGATAGAATGTGTGGGTATGTCTGGGTGTGAATGCAGTAAGAACACTATGCAAAGGAGGTTTCCGATATGTGTATAGAATGCTTTATCGGTGGTTCTTTGAGTTCCCTGCATATACATGAAATATATGCTAAGAAATGATATGATCGTCACACAGCCTCTAACAGTAAAAGGATATTTCTAAAACTGTGGTATGTTTGCTGCTTAAAATTAATTACAAGGTTTTCCATCAATAAATGTACCTTAAAGGAGTACTTGCGATTTATATGATCTTCAGGTCCCACTGGAGAGATCACATAGCTAGGCAATGGAATACTTCCAAGAACAGATTCTTCTCTGCTGTCTTTTTAATAAAGAAAAAGTCAAATTAATCTCCAAATTGAAACTGGAACACTAAAATACACTGATTATATTGAATGTGTTTTGTCAACAGTACGAGGTTAAAGACTGATGTAAAGGTTGGGCAGGACCAGTGCCCATATTGTAATACATGCTTTTAATGTCTAGCATCATGAATAAATGGCTTGGTTAGATTAGACAATACTGTCAAAACAATATATCAAATCAGGGTATTATTTCTGACTATATTATCAAATACAGCTTCCATTTATTTATACCCTGTCTTTCTTGTCAAAGGAATTAGAAGGGCACTATGTATCACTCTTTACCCAAAGTTGTACCTCCAATAACAGTAGGACCAAGAGTCTCTCATAAAGATCTTAAAAACTCAGGCAGCATCATATAGAACAAGGCCATCTTTCAAAGAGCATGATTTCATGATATACAAGGTTTGTAAGTCATACTTTGAATTGTCCTCGTAAACAGACCACAGACTGCATGGAACTTCGAGAGGGTCAAAGCATCTAGTGACCAACACTCCTTTCCTGTATATTAGCTAACGAATCAGTCCTAACAAGCAAGTGACTTCACACTTGTAGCAATCAATTGTATGGTTACAGAATTTGTGTTCAAGGTGGAGATTACAATATCTCTGGAATTATTTCCAAAAAACATAGGCAGAGTCCTGCTTTTATGTAGATGTGAAGGTCTGGAGGGGGAGGGGGTGCTACACTTTTTTGTCCCTTTTATCCAACATTTGTTGTTCCAGAAAAACTGAAAATTTAGAATTTTGCATGTTTTTAAAAAAGATGAACAAAAAATCAATACCAACCTCTTCTTATATTTATTACATTGACAAATTGTATGGGCTACATAGAAGACAGACCTTTATGTCAGACCATTTACAGCAGTCCTAACTAAAGTGGTAGTCTATAAACTGGTGGTAGTACAGAGTGAGTTTCCAACTATACTAGTATAGTATTAGATCATCGTAATTCCTACTTTCCTCAGTTAATTTTATGGGAATTGGTGCTTTATATTGGCTTGAAACATGGATTATTGTGTTCTGTTTCTTTGCTTGATTCTCAAAAACTGACAAAAAAAAGTTCCTTAAAGTTCAAGTGGTCCACACAGCTCAGGATTTTGTAGCTCCAAAAATTAAAAAGTAAAAACAGTTTTAAAAAGTTTTTAAAGTAAAAAAAGTTTTTAAAGGCAATTTTTAAGTACATTCAATTTCTAATTATTTTCTCAATAAACTGTATTTTTAATATATCAAATAAGACAATTTTATGCTAAACCAAGAAATACATGACATTTTAATGTCCTTAAAGTCACAAAGTAATTCTCTATTTGTAAAGGCAGTAAATATTGGGTGTTTTTTTTTTTCAATTTTTGAAACATTTCTGATTTTTTGAATCTTTTCCCTTTGGCTTCAAAAAGTCTAATTTCATATTTTTATTTCTGCAGGTTGTCAGTTTAAGAAAGCATCAAATATTCAACAGTGATGGGAAAAAACCTGAAAATATTTACAAAATGATAGAAAAATGTGTTTCTCTAGCATCAAGGGACTATGATGAGAAGACTGACGTGAGTCTTTGCAGTCCAAGACTTGATCTCCACTTCCTTGGGCTAAAGACACTTTCCATGCAGGAGACAAAGCTTTCAGCACCGATGATAATATTTTTGTATTGCAATATTTCTGCACAACAACGTGGTTTCTGGAACAGAAACCACGTATTTGGGGACTTATTCAGAATAAAAAAATATATCTGGCTGTTTTTGCACAGAAAAGTGGAGGAAAAGGCAATTTTTGCACAGAAAGTAACATTTCTTTGTTTCGGTGCATAAATATTATTTTATGTTCAGTAAATTGTGTTTTTTACACAAACATTATATATGTAAATTTTGTACAGAATCTCCACCTTCAAGCAGTCTCCAAAACTCTAGATACTTCTCACAGCAGGAAGAAAACTGCCAAAATTATTTTCTGCTTTATTTGAAAACAAATCAACAAAGCATTACACCCCTATCCAACAGTCACTAACTAGAGCTGCAGCCTGAAGCATGGACAAATATAGCAGCTCTCTGTTGTTGTTTGCTTTGCAGTAACTGGAATCCAAAGATATACACATGTTCAACTTTTCTAATCATTATTGAGTTTTTTTAGTAATGTCCTTACTTGAATTAATCCAGTTTAATAGAGTATACTTATCAATTTTTACAATATTTGTTTGTGTTTTAATCAAGTTAACTGCTATACTCCTATTTCCACAAAGTGATAAGAGATAACATGTTAAAGAAGTGTGGAATTGATACCATCACAAATCTACACTTTAATATTTCGTTTTATTCCACTGAGAACAGACAAACTAGAGCCTCTGTACTTGTGATGATTAATCTTTCAGAAGAACTTTTAGTAGGACACAAGTAAGGAAATATTATTGTCCAATCATGATTCTTGCTTTGTTATCAAGAACTGGGTAATGGCAATTGCTTTGTCAGTGCCATAGCCATAAAAATTCTTATCCTCCAAACAAATAGCTAACAGATATGAAAAGGCAAAATCTATCAACAGCAATTCCAACTTATCTCTGAATTCCCCCATACGTATCCCTGAATTAAATGGAAGTGCCGTATATGGGAAAGGTAAATCTAGTAGTTTTTGGATGAGTTAAATCTGAAAGAATATAAGGTCTAAATCTTAGATATCTAAAACCTAGAGGAGCAAATTCAGGATTCATGAATTGTTCTCCATTACCAAAAAAAAATTAAAGTCAGAACTTTATTCACTAACCTTTATAGTAAAATAAACAATAATCAGCAAGTACAAACCAGCGTCTTTTCCATAATCTCATCCCAGAGCTATCCTGAAAACAGAAATGATAATAGATGCCACATTACATTTATAACAACATAAATGTATTCCAAATAGAACTCCTTAATTCTGTATTCTAAATAGATTAAATGAATATATATACATTTGGGGGTGTTTTGTTATAGTACATGGGAAAAAAGGTTCTGCATGATTGTAATGGCAATACTGATATAAGGGATAATAGACTTTATCTGTAACTCTGGTTACTCCAGGTGGTCATCCGTGAAACCATGCAAATAGAGTCTTGTTCAGAACCCTCTAGAGCTGAGTAGCTTTATGACAGGAATCCCACATTCATACTCTCCCACACATAGTGGAGTATGCCAAGATACTTTCCTTAGTATTTAATCCACTGCTTAAACTACAGGGCAGAACAGAAGCAGATGGGAGGGGGTCAGGCTGTGAGTTCACAGATAATCTCTCTAAGAACTATTGTTGTGGTCTTTATGACTCACACAAATTGGTAACTTACAGGAGATGCTGCTATGCCAGTGGCTGAATAAAAGTCAATTGTGCAAAGGAAGCATCAGCATATGCTCAAGCATCAACTCTGCAGAGAATACTAAAAGTGGACCGAAGAGAGTGCACTCATACTTTACAAAGGTCAGATATGTGACACCTTTTTAATGATTCCTGAAGAACTCTTGGAGGCAATCTAGTGAAATGATATGTTAAGGATACTGTGTCCAAAATCTATCTGGCAAGACCAGCATCGTCTTCTCTATATCCCATAGCACGGGAAGAGTGCAAGGCAACTTCCAATTATTGATTCTGATCTTGATTATAGTCCAGAAAATTAGTCCCAGAAGACCATATGGAAAAATGGTCTGTTCCATCTGAATACAAAGGCACCTCTTTATGGCACCTCTACAATTTATGTCTTGTCTGTGCTGTCCTGCTCAGCATGCCTGCCAAGATTTTGCCTGTCACTGCCATATATATGGCGTTGGGAATAACATGTATTCTTATGCATCATTCACAAATGGGAAGCGACAGCCTGAGGACCCTTCTGAAATGTGTACTATCCTGTTTGTCGAGATAATACAGACCATGGATTATATGTTTCTGACTTTGACATAGGAAACACTTTCAGATGCCATGAGAGCTTTTAAAATGTCAAGAAATTTTAATAATTTTATGAGACATGCGTTGTTAAGACTATGGAATAGATAAAAGCCATTGTTATGCCACATCTTCTCCTTATTAATATCCTGGAAAGTATCTTATAAAAATGGTAAAAGACCTCTCTTAGTATTACCACCAGCCATTAATGTGGAGTGATCCACAGAGTGGTCCCATGCAGTGATGTATGTACAGTAATGATGAGGACTAACTGGATGCTGGAATGCTATGCCTTCTAGAATGTTTGGCAGGAAAGTTCACCAAAGAAGTTCCCTACTAACTGCTGTAGATAGAAACTTTTTTTGGAGGACTATCTTCCTCCATGTCAAAACTCACAAGGAACCATAACAGCAAAATTCCCACCATTAGCCTCAATAGGTAAACAAAATTTGTAGTAGTGGCCTTAAGGCCTAGAAGTTGTGGCATAGTTTGGGTTCTGCACATAGGAACATGAGAAATGCAATATAAAGACATATTAATCTATGTGCTCTGTCCAGAAGTAAAAATACCAAAGCTCTTGGAACATTCATATTCTATCAGAATTTGGATGGACCTGGTAGGAATGAATTGTGACTCTTACAGGTTGACAGAAAAACCAAAATCTTTCAGGAGTGTGAATATGCATGTGAGTCCATCATCTAAAATCTTACCAGCTAAGCCGTTAAACAAGTTCAGACCATCAAAGGTCACATATCTGATATGTGATCTGGCACAGTCAGTGATATCCACAACCATGCAGATATCACATAGCTACTACGACTTGGCCATTGCCACAGTCATCCAAGAAAGTATTCAGGAAGAAAGCAATCTTTTCCCATAAAAACTGTTGATAGGTGGTCACACAGGCCTCATAACTGCTCACTCTGATAAGGTTGCTCATGATATGCATATCTAAACATCGAGTCCAATTTATAACCGTTCTTTTCCAGAGGAGCTGAGCAGGCTCTCTTGCTGACTTTAGCTTGCACTGTCCCCAGTATGAAGGAATTAAATTGGGTGTGCTGGAATAAAAAGCCGACCTCTCCCTTCTGCATTCTATACAAGTCTTCAATATTGCAAGAAAGAGGCATCATGAGTGATGATTTGGTACAGGTTTTTAAGATCAATTCAGGGGGTGCTTTGGTATTCAACTTTACATTTGTTTTAATGGTTTTTAACTGGGAATATACATATTTGTATATTTTAAATGGTTATGCTGATGCTTTTATGTTAAGTTAAATAAATCTGCTCCACCTCTATCTCACCCCGCATTTTTAGCTTTAGTATCTTATTCTGTGCATGCGGCCCGCTCACTGTTGCTGTGTTACGAATAATTTTATGTTAATTACATAATGTCTTATGTAATTTATTATGTTATTGTTTTGCGTTTTGATTTTATTTATTGTACTGTATTGTGTTGTTGGGCTTAGCCTCATGTAAGCCGCCCGAGTCCTCATTGGGGAGATGGTGGCGGGGTATAAATAAAGTTTATTATTATTAAGTCGCTTTGAGTCCTCTTTGGAGGAGATAAAGCAAGACAATAATAATAATAATAATAATAATAATAATAATTCGACAGTGTTCGACAGTGGCACTGAAGAAGGGAAAAATCATTGAAAGTGAGGGCATAAATATGCTCAATGGCCAAGCAATAAAGTGTCACCAGCCAGAGGCTTATAAATATCTGGGAATACTACAGATGGACAACATCAAACATGAACATGTGAAAACTGTGGTCAGCAAATAATACATTCAAAGGGTCAAAAAAATTCTCAAAAACAAGCTCAATGGAGGTAATACCATCAAGACCATAAACACCTGGGCCATATCTGTCATAAGATATACTGCTGGCATCATAAACTGGATGCAGGCAGAACTGGGCAATCTGAACAGAAAAAACAAGAAAACTCATGACCATTTATAATGCACTACATCCTCGCAGTGATGTTGACCAGCTCTATCTGCCTAGAAGGTCTGGTGGCAGAGGACTTTTACAAGTAAAACAAGCAGTCGAAGAAGAAAAACACACCCTGGCAGAATATGTCAAAGAAAGCCAAGAACCTGCTTTAATTGAAGTCAATAATCAGAAACTTCTCAAAGCACAGCAGACAAAGAATCAGTACAAGAAAACTGCACTACAAACCAGAGCTGACAGCCGGCACAACAAAGCATTGCATGGATAGTTCCTTGACAAAATTGAAGGAAAAGTTGGCAAGGAGAAGACCTGGTTATGGCTCATGAATGGAACACTGAAGGAGACAGAAGGCCTGATTCCTGCAGCCCAAGAGCAAGCCATCAGAACAAATGCCATTAAGGCCAGGATTGAAAAATTAGCTGATGACCCAAAAGCCAGACTGTGCAAGGAAGCTGATGAAACCATTGATCATATCCTCAGCTACTGCAAGAAAATCGCACAAACGAACTACAAACAGAGGCACAACTCTTGGCTCAAATGATTCATTGGAACTTATGTCACAAGTACCACATGCCAGTAGTAAAACACTTGTGGGATCATAAACCTGCAAAGACAGTGGAAAATAAACAAGCAAGAATACTGTGGGACTTTCAAATCCAGACTGACAAAGTTTTGGAACACAATGAGCCAGACATCACGATTGTGGAAAAGAAAAAAGTTTGGATTATTGATCTTGCCATACCGGGTGACAGTCACATTGAGGAAAACAACAGGAAAAAATCAGTCGTTATCAGGACCTCAAAATCGAACTGCAAAGGCTCTGGCATAAACCAGTACAGGTGGTCCCAGTGGTCATCGGCACACTGGGTGCCGTGCCAAAAGATCTCAGGCGGCATTTGGAAACAATAAACATTGATAAAATAATGATCTGTAAACTGCAAAAGACCACCTTACTTGGATCTGTACGCATCATTCGAAAAGACATCACACAGTTCTAGATGCTTGGGAAGTGTTTGACTTGCGATTCTGTAATACGAAGTCCGGCATATAGAACTCGTTTGCTGTGACATACTGTGGTTTTGTGTCAGAATAATAATAATCATAATCATAATAGATTTTCTGAGTAGTTCAAGAAAGGCTGAAAGTCATGGGAGCATCAGACAGTGCGTGGTGTTGACTACAGCATGTTGAAAACTGGATCTGACACAGGTGGAGGTTCAGAGATTAAGAGTCACTTCACACACAAGAACATGGTAACCCAAAGAATCTAAAATTGGGTATCTACCTAGGGTGAAAGAAGGAAAGTGGTAGAACCACTTTGAGATATCCCAAAGTCAGCATTAAAGATAAAAAGGGGCAACAATCAATCAAATAAATTTTATTGACAATGTAGTCTGTGCTCATTCAGAAGAAGACCTACAAGCCACTCTAAACACCTTTGCAAAGCATATGAGAAACATGGCCTCTCATTGAATATTGAGAAAACCAAAGTGTTCTTCCAGCAGGCACCAGCCGATCCCTTTGCAATGCCAGAAATACATCTGAATGGTGTAACATTAGAAAAGTCAACATTGACACTGAAATATACTGCCCGTGCTCTGCGAGTGAAGCATTTTTCCCAATGAAGCACAGAGTGTTTGAGGACCAGGACATATGTAGGGAGACCAAGGTGTTTGTTTATAAAGCCATTGTCCTTTCAACCCTGCTATATGCCTGCAAAACATGGACTGTCTACAGACCTCACATGCAATTCCTGGAACGGTTCCATCAGATTTGCCTCCAAAAAATCCTGCAAATCTCTTGGGAAGACAGGCAAACAAATGTCAGCATACTAGAAGATACAAAGGCCACCAGGACTGAAGTGATGCGCCTCCACCATCAACTCCGCTGGAACAGCCACATTGTCCATATGCCCTATCATCATTTCCCAAAGTAGTTATTCTACTCCCAACTCAAGAACAGGAAATGTAATATTGGTGAACAGGAAAAGATATTTAAAGATGGGCTTAAAACCAACCTGAAAAACTGTGGGATAGACCCAGAGAACTGGGAAGCCCTGGCCCTTGAGCACTCTAACTGGAAGTCAGCTGTGACCAGCAGTGATGCAGAATTTGAAGAGGGCGAAAGGGAGAAACCTGCAAAGAGGAACGCACATCAAGCCAACCCTGACCAGACCGCCTTCCACCTGGAAACAAATGTCCTCACTCTGGGAGAACATGCGGATCAAGAATAGGACTCCACAGCTACCTACAGACCCACCGCCAAGACACCACATCTGGAAGACCATAATCCTCGAACCACGAGGGATCACCTAAGTAAGTGACTTGGAGTGGAAAGATTTTCTGCAGAGTCTACTGTACACAGTTACTAACAGATTTCAGCAAATGCCTAGATGGCATTCAGAAACCATTTACTGTTGCCAGATTTTTCGTGACACCAACACTGAGCTAAGGGAATCCCATTTGGGGTTAGGAACCACAGTTTAAGAAGCGGTGTTCTAGTCCAACACAAAGAGGACTACCCCAATCTGGATCTCACATTTCAAACAAAAGCAAGAAAATTCAAAACTCAAGATTTTCTGTACAGGTTTTAGACTCATAGAAAAGATAAAGCCGATTTCTAAAAATATAGTTAAAGTTTAAATGATGAGTTATGGGAAACCATGATCACATACAATTTCAAATAGCAAACAAGCATTCTAGGTTCACAGCTTCAATGTTTTCAAAACTTATTTGAAGATTATCTAATTATTACAATGCAATTCTGACTAAGCAGTTGAAATATACTTACAACAATATAATCATACACTTACTTGCTTGTGAAGCCATCCTCTTACTACAACAGGAACATTAGGGTTTCTCCTTATAGCCTGGTCCCTCTTCCCAAAGCTGTGGATTTTATTGCCAGATTTTACCACCTTGAAATATAAGAATAATAAATATTTATTAAATACATCACTTCAGGTAATGACACTTAGGGTGCGGAAGGGGATAACCATGTCAGGCTATTGCAAAAGTTAGAGTAAAATGTGTTATTTGGCATTGGATTTAGTGGCCTATCCTGCACACTAAATAAAATAGACTGAGGTTCACAATGTTTATGTCTAATAAAATGTTTCACTAATTAGGTGCCACAAGAATCTTTGTTGTTTACACTGAGTACTGAACTAAATGTAACACGCATTCTGCAAATGTAGAAGCATTGCACTAACATAGGGATGGCCAACTTCAATGGTCAGCCCACCGGAGGCCACTATAAAGCCCCCCACAATAAAAGATGAGATGGCTAGCCAGCCAACTCTGGATCTAACCAGTTGTCCCTGTTTCCCAGTTTTAATGCACATCTAGAAGCTTCAGTGGCACATTATCATTTTTTTTGTAGTGACATTGTGGTGGCCACATATAGTCCATGCCGTAGCACCACTGCTACATTGGCGTAACTATGCTAACCCAGCAGAAGCAAAAAGGCAATGGGCAATGTTGTGAGTCAGCATTCTGACACCATACCTACTACTAGTAGTAGGAGAAGAAGAAGGAGTGATGCAGAAACAGAGGAGAATCAGCGCCAGCTGAAACGCATCCGTAACATCTTTCTGGCTCCCAGTGATGAAGAAGACTTTGCAGGATTCAGGCCAGAGGAGGCTATGGAAGCAGATTACAGGGGAGTGAAGAGAGTGGCTAGTGATTCTGGCAGTGAGAGTGACACTATGTCTAAGAGGCTTAGAGACACAGCAGATAACTCCAGTGATAGTGAGGATGAGTTGGAGGAGGCTGTAGACTGGACTCTGGTTCAGAACATTAGAGACATTTGCAATCAAGCAACATCAAGTGATGATTTTGAAGGTTTTAGGGATAATGGGAATGAGAGTACTGATTGGCAGGATCAGGCACTAGAGCAAAGGTGGCAGGCTTGGCGTGGTGTAGATGCTTCAGCTGTGGGAGCAGAATCAGATGCAAGCAATGAATCTCATTCTTCTGATAGTGAATAAAATGAGCACTCTGGGACCTATTCCTTTGCAGACGACAAAGTGTTGTTTCGTGTTGTTCTCTGCCTAATCTTGTTTTGGATTCCCAGTATCCTGTTTTCCCTGCCGTGCCTCGGACCTTGGAACCTTCGCTCGTGAGTGTGCATCTGGCTTCTTGACCCTTGGAACTGACTGACTACACGTTTGCCTACCGGATTTTGCTCCATGCCTTGCAACCCTTAAAGACTGTTTGTTTTGTATTCTGCTCCTAGTTCATCGTATCTCCTGTTATTTCTTGGCTGCAATTCAAGCCTGCTTATCTAGCGTTTTGTGTTCCTGTTTGAAAACATCCTTTGAACTGTTTGCACTGACTTTTAAAGTGCCTTATTAAGTTTGTTTTGCATTAAAATACTACTATTTTGCACCTCAACTGCTGTTTAAGACATTCTGTGTTCTGTGGGTCACGACAGGCAATGAACCCAGTAATCACAAAGAAGTACAATAAAATCACATGTCATTTTTAGGTGAGTAAGAAAGCTGTCTCTGACCAATTTATTTTTCCATTGCTTGGCTTCTGGATGAGTCTTTAGTGCTAGGAAGGTCTGTCAAGGATGTACTGGGAAACTACCTGTCTTGGAGCACAGATGGTTTTCCAAACCATGCTTATATGAGAAGACCCTGGCTCCAAGATGCAATCACAAGAGGAAATTATATAGATAGAAAGGATTTGCTATTGGAAGGTAAAATGGCCACACAATGAAATCTACAAAACAACTCTGAAGGCCACAGTTGGGACAACTGTAATGCGCACCTCAATTTTGAGGTGTAATTACTCCAAATGTATTTTCTATCAATTTTGTGCCCATTCCCACCTGGGTGCAAGCAGAAGCAATTCCACTTGCAGCCTTGGATGGGGGGAGGGCGCTGCTTCTTCTTTGCCTCCTTTCCCATCTGACGAGAGACAAGAGAGAAGTCAGCTAGGAAGGGAGGGGGCTTTCTGGCACTTCTCCGAGATGGGAAAAGAAGGAGAAGCCAGCTGGAAGTGCCCCCCTCCATGCAGAGACTCGCAAGTTCACTAGCCTCAGTCTGACGGAGGGGCATAGACACCTTTTGGTGCACTACTGTAATGCTCCATCAAATCTCAATTTTGTCAAGGTCATTTAGCCAAAAAAAGTGCATATTACATTTGAGTAAATGCGGTAATTTAATGAAGACTTATATTTTGGAAGGGATGTGTGTTTGCATACATTTGTGTCTACCTGCACCATGCTCTGAGGCTGAGAGACTGTGACTTCAAAGAAAAATCAGGATGAAGGAAAACAAAGGAGAAAGGTATGAAGGGAGTGGATGGAAGGGAAAAAAGAGAAAGAAGAGACTAGAAAGGAAGAGAAAAGGGAAGGAAGAAAGAAAGAAAAACAAGGGAAGAGGGAGGGAAGTAGAGGTGTATGAAGGGAAGCAATCAGTAGCATGCCTAATTTAAATACTGTCGTGTCTCTTTTTTTACTGCTGCTTTCTACTACTCTTTCGCCTAAGGCAGAGAAACATCTGGATAACAGCCAGCCTTTATGTTTTCAAGAATGAGATCACTCACTCCTTCTTTGTCTCAGGATCCTTAGTATAATCTGATACTTGCAGCTCAAATATTCAATTGAAACTACATCTAGAATACAGACTTCACTGTAACAACATCTGGCCTAATTTTTGTAATCTTTCCCCTACCTCAATCTCATTTTGGATGGATCTGAAAGAGGTATTTGTCCAGCTATGGATTCTGGAGGCATCCTCCCACCCAACTAAGATTTTTATGTACATTTAGCGAGCTGTTCTCTTATCCTAAGACTGAAGATGAGAGCAAGGGCCTAAAAGAAGAAGAGACAGCCATTCTCAGTATGCAATACATTTGAAAACTCTCCATAATCATGGACATAGTAAGAAAGAATAAAGCATACTTGACCCTGCTGACTGATTTAAGCACAATCACTTGACAGGCACTGCTTAGAAATGCCTGTTGTCCCACAGGAATCACACTGGGTGTAATCTCCACTTTTATAAGTAAAGCATAATTTAAAGCTTATTATGTATTGTCGAAGGCTTTCATGGCCGGAATCACTCAGTTCTTGTGGGTTTTTTCGGGCTATATGGCCCTGTTCTAGAGGCATTTCTCCTGACGTTTCGCCTGCATCTATGGCAAGCATCCTCAGAGGTGAGGTCTGCTGGAGCTGGGAAAAAGGGGTTTATATATCTGTGGAATGACCAGGGTGAGACAAAGGGCTTTTGTAAGTTGGGCTAGGTGTGAATCTTCCATCTGACCACCTTGATTAGCATACAATGGGCTGACTGTGCCTGGAGCAAACTCTTCTTGAAGGGTGATTAGGTGTCCCTGCCAGTTTTTCTCTCTGCTGTTTTTGCTGTTGCAATTTTTAGATTTTTTTAATACTGGTAGCCAGATTTTGTTCATTTTCATGGTTTCTTCCTTTCTGTTGAAATTGTCCACATGTTTGTGGATTTCAATGGCTTCTCTGTGTAACCTGACATGGTGGTTGTGAGAGTGGTCCAGCATTTTTGTGTTCTCAAATAAAATGCTGTGTCCAGGTTGGTTCATCAGGTGCTCTGCTATGGCTGATTTCTCTGGTTGGAGTAGTCTGCAGTGCCTTTCATGTTCCTGGATTCTTGTTTGGGCACTGCGTTTGGTGGTCCCTATGTAGACTTGTCCACAGCTGCATGGTATACGGTGAAATCCACAAACATGTGGACAATTTCAACAGAAAGGAAGAAACCATGAAAATGAACAAAATCTGGCTACCAGTATTAAAAAATTCTAAAATTGCAACAGCAAAAACAGCAGAGAGAAAAACTGGCAGGGACACCTGATCACCCTTCAAGAAGAGTTTGCTCCAGGCACAGTCAGCCCATTATATGCTAATCAAGGTGGTCAGTTGGAAGATTCACACCTAGCCCAACTTACAAAAGCCCTTTGTCTCACCCTGGTCATTCCACAGATATATAAACCCCTTTTTTCCCAGCTCCAGCAGACCTCACCTCTGAGGATGCTTGCCATAGATGCAGGCGAAACGTCAGGAGAAATGCCTCTAGAACATGGCCATATAGCCCGAAAAAACCCACAAGAACTAAAGCTTATTACTTCATAAAATGCAAAATGTGAATCTATACTAGTTTGAATAAGTTTGGGTAGTTTGCCATATGTTCTATCTTTCTGTAATTGAAACAGTGTTTATCATCAGTTTTCCCAAACTTATTAGAGACAATTATGCTACCACTGACAGCTGGAGCAATCCTAATGATTTCTGGAGCAATCCTAATGATGAGATGCCTGATAAAGACACTGATCCTAAAGGCTCCATTCAACCCCTGAACCAGACATGGGTCCTTTTTCTCACTTTTACCAAAAAATATATCCTTCATTACAACAGAAGTAAATGAGATTATAGTATTAAACACACTTCAGTCCCCACCTACATTTCTATTAATTTTGAGATCAGGCTACAGACGAAGATGGCTGTGAATCAACAGTATCAAGTTGTATCCCACCTCACCCCAACATTTTCCTCTCCTTATAAAGTTTCAAGTAACAATCTTAGAAAGAAACTAGCGCAAAACATATTTAATGCTGTGTGGGCTTTAAGGCGGGATGCGGAGAAAAATCTGCTCTATCATTGGGACTGTCATTGACAACTCAGAGGGAAATCTCAATTCATCATATGGCCTGAGACCAATAGCACTGCAGATTTAATTTCATTTGGATTTTAAAAATGGTTTTGTTCTGTGGCATTGCCCTACATTTCCTATTCTTCTGCTCCAAATCTGCTGGTACAGCGCTTTATTTATGTCCGTCATCTTGAAATTCAGTCTATGTGCAAATACCAGCAGCTGTGTATAATTAAGCAAAAAGTAACTTCCACTGATTTCCCTATTCTGATAATGCCCTCTGTGCCCTCAGGATCAGGTGGAGAGGGCAGACTGAGATAAGGAAACTTCACTGTGTGTGTCAACTGAATTACATTTGACTATATATATATATATATATATATATATATATATATATATATAATATTATATATTACTGCATATGCAGACTGTAGCCAGGAAATCAGAAGACGCTTACTTCTTGGGAGGAGAGCAATGTCCAGTCTCGATAAAATAGTGAAGAGTAGAGACATCAGACTGGCAACACAGATCCGCCTAGTCAAAGCCATGGTATTCCCTGTAGTAACCTACGGATGTGAGAGCTGGACCTTAGGGAAGGCTGAGCGAAGGAAGATCGATGCTTTTGAGCTGTGGTGTTGGAGGAAAGTTCTGAGAGTGCCTTGGACTGTGAGAAGATCCAACCAGTCCATCCTCCAGGAAATAAAGCCTGACTGCTCATTGGAGGGAAGGATACTAGAGACAAAGTTGAAGTACTTTGGCCACATCATGAGGAGACAGAAAAGCCTAGAGAAGACAATTATGCTGGGGAAAGTGGAAGGCAAAAGGAAGAGGGGCCGACCAAGGGCAAGATGGATGGATGGCATCCTTGAAGTGACTGGACTGACCTTGAAGGAGCTGGGGGTGGTAACGGCCGACAGGGAGCTCTGGCGTGGGCTGGTCCATGAGGTCACGAAGAGTCGGAGATGACTGAACGAATGAACAACAACATATAGGCAAAATGCATAGCTAGTAAGGTTGTGCATCCGCTTCAGACACTGTCCAAATATTAAAGTAAACTGGGATTATCTGAACCTTTAAAAAAAAAACAATTTGACACAAACTGAGTTGCTCCTTTCACCTTACACTTTTTCTTCCCTAGTGACCTGCTCCACAAAGCCTGCAGGTTGCATTGGACTTGGGGAGGAGGGGGCACTTTCTGTCCTTTCCTGGTTAATGTTCTTTCCGAATGGAAGAGTTGCTTTTGTTCACTGACACCTAATTAGAATTCAACCCATGTCCCATGTTCGGTTGTGTGAACTGCATGTTGGATGAAAAACCAATGTCATATCAAGTTATGCAAAAACAGATTTAAAATGAATAGAACAGCCAATAAATTGAGACTACTCTCTGGAAGGGGCTACTTGAAGTACTGCTATTTCATGAAAGGAAAAACACTACTTTATCAAATTATGTCAGAGTAATTTTTTAATGTGATGTATTTTCTTTCTGCTGCAGCAGCAATTAAAAAAGAACAAAACCATTATGCAAATTATCCCTGCAACAACTGCCTCCATTTTAAAAGAAATCTTTTTAAAAAGAGAAATGTGAATATACAATTAAAACTAAACATTTTTTTTCAAACCACAGCTGTCAATTTGGCCTTTCAGTTGATAATTCCTTTTCTTCAAGAATAGAATTTCTTCAGCTATTCATTTTGAAGAAATCAAATAATAAACTATGTGCCACTTCATAAAGTACTAATGAATCCATCAAATGTATGTGCATACTCTTTACACTGTATAAAACAATAACCAAATATTTACATGCATTTTGTTTTCATGTTAATATGTAGTTATGAAACAATGTTTCTAAATGACAGATGAAAATAAAAGGCTAGAAAATAAATGGACAGAAATTTAGGGAAGGGATTAAAATTACTAGTATCTTCCCAAAATGTATAGAGAACAGTATAAATACAGAGTCTACAAAATGAAAATATTAAGACGTGGGATAGAATGAATTATATTTCCTTCCACAAAAGTAAACCCCCATCTACTTATACTGCACAATATTGTAAGGAATATATGAGAGATGCTATGGGAACAAATGCACTTCTACCAGAAAGTGGTTATAGGTAAAATCAGTGTGCAGAATCTATGGCAAGAGAAGGAGAAGCTTTTGGTTCAAGTCACAATTCAACTATGAATTACTGAATGACCTCAAAATGAAAGACATGTCTTATTTGTCAGTATGATAAAACATTTCCAAGCTCAACACCTTCACCTTTATAAGAATCTTTAAAAACCAGGCAAACACACAAGGAAAATACCAAAAGACTTACCTTGGAGCCAGGTTTTATATCTACAGTGGATGTAGTTACTGCAGTAGATGATTCACTGACCATGCTTGGGGGTCTTTGGTTTATCTGGTGCTTTGACATATGTGAGTTCTGCCTAGAAAAAAAAGAGAGGAACATTTGCAAGGTATTTCACCTTTCCTTCTAAGAGGTATTTTTACACCTTTGCATAAAACTGTAGCCTGCATAAATCACACTTCTAAGCTTTCTCACAGTTGCGCCAATGCAGTAAACTGTTCCGTTTCAATAGCTTTTATTCATATACCACAACAAACAGGAGCAGGCTCAGTTCAGCCCATCATACAGTTTACCCAACATCACCATCTTTTGTACATTTCAGCTTGCACTTTTATGTTAATTAAGGGAGCTCACATTTGACATATTTCTACAGTGTAAGATGCTGTTACTATCAGTGATGTAACTGTCAGCACAATGCCAGCCAGGAAACTTACTCAGTTAATTTTAACCAGACCTTGTAATTACAGGGGAATGAACTACAATATATGTTGTTATTTAAATGCTTCAACTTTTATAATACACATCAGGTAATTTTCTATATAGTTTTAGTATTGCCACTGCTATGACATTTCCTGTATAAACATTCTATAAAACCTGGAACTCTAATAAAAAGACAGACTAAAACAAGAAAACTTCACTACAGATATCAAGTATGTAATTTTCATCATTTAAAAAATGTATTTTGGTCTTAACCAGTGTGATTTATAGCAGAAACCTTACTGATACAACCTTTCTTACTGACACCATAACCCTTAGGTTTGTACAAAAAACCTAAGACAAACAAAACAAAAACAAAACAATCACTTTGTCTCCAAAAACTCCTAAATTTTACTCAAAAGATAAGGTTAATCTTTATTCACTTTCTCCAATAAGTTATGCTGCAGATGGTCTGGACTAAGCCACTATGACCGATGATCAGGATATGGTGAGCTACAGTCCAAGAAAGGCACTAAGTTGGGAAAGGCTGATCTTTATAGCAAAGGCCGTAGTCCTTCCAATGGAATATTGGAGACCTTTGTGAAGGACAAAAATCTAGTACACAAGGGGAGGAGTCACCTATTACGGTTAAACTTGTAGTCCATTACTAGTACTGACTGCACATCTTTGCATAGCATTAATATGCTAAGCATGACAAGCATAGTCAGCTGCTTCCTTTGGTATTTAGCCAATCGGCTTTTCCTGTTGTCCATAAGTAAGTACAGGAAGAAAAAAATCATATATCTCTTGGAGGGTGCACTGTATTTTCTTTAAGTGTTACATATGCACTTATCCAAAAACAGGGCAATATTATGCTTAAATGTTTTTGCTATATCTAACCTAATATCTGCTAGACATTAATTGAGCTGAGTCACAGACTAGAACGTACTACCCAGACTTGCAGTACCAAAACAAATAAACAGAATATATAATTAATTTGGCTCTTGTATATAATCATTTCATTGTATAATCAAATTAAATGTTATCATGATCCTTAGAAACACGGGAGACAGTAATATGCATCAATGCATATAAGAATACATGAAAAGCCATCACGATCATTGGCCTATCCAGCATTCTTTTTCCATAGTGCCCAATAAAATGCCTGAGGCAAGGTCATAAGCTGAACAGAAGTGAAATAGTATCAAGTGATTTAATCCAGCTACTCAGTAACATCCTCTTGTTCATGTTCCCCCAGCAACTGGTATTGAGAGGCACACTGTCTTTGATTTTGGAAATGTTCCAGGCAAGATATAGGCACAACAGAGTACAACTGATACTTCAGATGTGACTCCAGGCAGAACTGGAGCACTGGGCTTTGGACAAGAATGAGCTAGCTACTTACTTCAAAGGAGACGGTGGAGAAACTAAGGGTGGGATCTTATTTATACACAATTCTGGTGGCTGTGCTTTCTCCATGGTCATACAGAAGTGGCAAAATAAGGTTAAAATAATAACCCTGCCAGCTACAAGCAACAGATTTTTTTCATTGTTTTCTGTTGCTTCATAGCCAACACATTTTGGTCTTTTATCACGCATTGTTAAGCTGATGGAGTGCACCCACACAATTTATGTACAACTACTATCATACAACTCTCATTTAGACCTGATTTAATACATTCCTGGGACTCAGGCATATACATTCAGTCAGGTAAGGAAGAAAAAAGCAAAAAACAACAAAGAAACAAATGAGTCACACTTTCTCAGCTTCAGAGGAAAAGCAAGGCAAATGCCCTCTGAACAATTGTTGTCAAGAAAACTCTATAACAAAGGCATGCCACAACAAAAATCTATTTTTATAGAGGATGAAAAGGTGTTAGAAGCAATATCTGCAGCAGCTGTATTTCTTTCACTGTACCAATTTCTATGTGCAAAAACTTCCATCTTAGATCTAGATTTCATAAGGGAAATACAGACAAAAAAAATAAGATGTGATGGGGGCTATAATTACAGATAAAATAATTTAAATAATTCTTCATGGGTTGTTACTCAGAACTCAATGGGGTATAAGATTGGTCTCATGATTACAAAATAAAAAACATGCCACCTTGGAGTTTTATAAAGTTGGTACATTATATCGTTACTAAATCTCTAAAGGTCCCTAGGAGAAACCCTTCACCTTCAGATGCCTCTCATATCACTACTCAATAACACAGAAACATAAAGCCATAAAATTATAGCTTCAATATTGACCAAAAAAAATAGGCAGAAAAAAACTTAATTTTAAACAATGTCAACATGTAAATTTTACAACAACAATCCAATCAATATCAAATACAAAAATATCAATATATATATTTAAAATATAAGGTAAAGGTGAGGTTGACATTAAGTCTAGACGTGTCCAATTCTGGAGGGTGATGCTCATCTCCATTTCTAAGCCGAAGACACTTTTTACATGTATTGACAATCATGGCCAAATCCCCAAGGATTGGGGGCTTGCAATCATTGTTTCCATCTATAAAAAGAAAGGGAAAAAGGATGATCCTGCGAACTATCGACCAATCAGCCTCCTTAACACTATCAGCAAGCTATATGCTAGGCATCTCCAATGGAAACTCCAAGATTGGTTGGAACAAGAAAGCATATTAGCTGAGGAGCAAGCTGGATTCAGGGAAGGTCGATTCACCATAGATCAGTGCCTAGTGCTGCAACACCTTGTGGAAAAATATTCCTCCCAAAACATAACCTCACTATATGCTGCTTTTATTGACTTTAAAGCAGCATTTGATTCCATCTCGCGAGTTAAACTTTGGGAAAAACTGGAGAGTTCTACAATTGATCGCTGTCTATTATATCTAATACGCCAACTTCATGAAAAGACCACACTCAAAGTAAGATGCAACCCACAGGGCCACCTCACTGAGGCTGTTGAAATATGCAAGGGTGTCAAGCAATGCTGCATCCTGGCCCCTTTGTTATAAACTCCATAGTGGACCAGCTTCAAAATATGGACTTCCACCCCCCAAGGCTGGCGGGAAGACACATCTCCATCCTGCTTTATGCAGATGATGCTGCTGTACTCTCTAGAACACCCGTTGGGCTCTAAAGAGCTCTGAGAGCATTAATACAACATTGCAACACAGATCAGCTCCAACTTAATTACAATAAAACCAAAATCATGGCTTTTGTTAATAGGCCCAGAACTCACTCTTGGAGCATAGATGGTCATAAAATTGAACAAGTTGCATCCTTCAAATATCTAGGTGTAGTTCTCCAATCTAATGGTAGCAGAAGAGCTCATGGGGATCAAGTAGCCAACACCGAGCAGAGGAGCTCAATTGCCATTCTTAAATATCTCAAGACAAGAGGGGGCCACTTCACACCGGCAGCGCTCAAGCTGTTTGAAGCTAAGTCATTAGCCCAACTCTTGTATGGTGCTCAGCTGGGCCCCTTCCCGAGTTTTGCCCCATTAGAGCTGGTTCAGTCAAAGTTTCTGAGATTGGCCTTGCAGGTCCCTAAATGCGTTTCTAATGCCACCCTGCGACTAGAGACAGGTTTTATGAGAGTGGAGTAGAACAGAAATATATGTATGTAAATCTAAATAGACTCTCAAGACAGTAATATACAGCAGTATTCTGTGTTCTCTATTAGTATAACTTGTCTGAGAATTTATACATAAAACAAAATTGTTATCAGCACATTATTATAGAGAAATAAACAACAGACTAAAGATAATAAAGTCCATCCTTTCAGTGAAGGAATTAAAAGGTCTCTATCTTTATCTTCAAAAGAATTCTTCTTTTGGCAAGATAGTCTCAAGGAATTCTTCTTTAAGCAACACAGTCTTTCTTAGGCAACAAAATCTCAGTCTCAAGGAATTCTTCTTAGGTAACAAAATCTTTCATAGGCAACAAAATCAACAAGGTCTTCCGGTTTGTTATCCTTGTTTCGAACAAATATCTTCCTCAGGGTGTAGTTTGTTATAATATTATGCTTAGTGCACTAAATAGGGAGAAGAAATAACATACACAATAGATACATGAAACTCCCAAAATAACACTGCTAGAGAAACATTTAGTAATAACAGTAAAGAAACACGCTACCCTACTTACATTCTCTTCAGGAATACAGGCTCTGTAGTAGTAGGAGTTCTATAACGAGCAATGAGGTAAGGATTGGCTAACACTTAAGTAGAATTACATCTCACAAGAAACAAGTGTATTCAATTTTGTCATTTAGTCCTAGAGGAACCAGTGTTTGTAGTTTAAAGATCCAATAAGATTCCCTTTGCAGAAGGAGTTTTTTTACATCCGCATTTGGTCTGGGTAATATTTTTTCCAAAGCGCAAAATTTAAAACTATGGTGTGTATGTGCTTTTTCATTAAAATGTACATATAGTGAAGAGTCAGTGGACCCATTCCTTATGCGTGACCGATGTTCATTTATCCTAATTTTAAGGGGTCTAGTAGTTATACCCACATATAATAATTTGCAGGGGCATTCTAATAGATATACTACATTATCACTGGAACATGTTGTCAAATGTTGTAATGTGACCTTGATATTGAGTGTAGGGTGAGAGTATATTTTACTCTTAAGTGATTGTTGGCAGCAGTTACAATGTCCACAGCTAGTGTGCCCCCTAGTGGTGGGTTCATG